AAGGAACAAAAGATAGTCAATGCATGTCATAATTGACAAAAAAAAAATAAACACGTTAAGTAGATAGTTATTTGTAAAATTTGGGAAATTTTGATTTTTTTAAATTAATCATAAATTTTTCTGCCGAAAAATGATGATAAAACAGTTTCTATTGAACTTTTTACACAATCAAGGTACAACATTATTTTTAATATTTATCTCTACAATCTCTGCAATTTATCTCTACAAAATCAAAATTCTGATGTCAAAAAACTTCCAGACACCAATTTTCATCCAAATATTGACGTTAGTTCAGAAATTATTTGGAAAAATTCGATATAAAAATGAAACTTCTACACCCAGTATCTCCGAAACTAAACATTTTAGGATATACATTTATACAAACTTTTTTTACTTATTTTTATATGCAGAATATGCTGCCGAAGTTTCCGGAATACAGTTCGGACCACCCTGTATACAGCATTGAGAGTGATTAAGCAGAAAAAAAGCTTCAAAATGCGTAAACAAATTCATAAAAATACGTTCCCGATAGGTACTATTTGTTAGTCACATGTTAATTGTTGTATTTCTTCAAAAATATTTAACTTACCAGGCATCTGACTGCCTCTCATTAACTTGGTTCGTCTTTCTGCCAGGATTCTTTTACCAAGGGGCGTTTTTCTCCAGTCCGGATCTTTTTCATCGTCGTCCACGAAGGATCCGTCCAGGATATCTTCATTATCCTTCAAAAAATACGTTTGATTTAAAGATTTCAGTATTTAAAAAATATCGATACGAAAAAATCGATATGTTTAACCATTCCTAGTTTATTTAGTGGTAAATTCCTTCGAATAGAGATTAAAGGAAGGAGCATATATCAAAAAACTTGGATGGTGACCTAAAATGGCCGACTTAAATTCCGGTTTATCAGTGCCGTTCTAATTTTACTCAAAACGTAAAAATATGATGTAAGGTAGACTCAGTAATTTGATTTTTTTACGTTGTCGGTAAATGTTGGTGGTTATTAAAATTGTTATAAAAATAGATAAGTTATAATAATTATTTATTAAGACAAACATCCGATACGCTACTGAAGCAGGTAAGTCAAATAGACGTGTCTAAATTCTTTAACATCTAAACTTTGACAAATAGTAAATAAAAGTAAAAATGCAAGAAAAAATATATAATTATTTAATTTTAAGTGAATTTCTTAAATGACCGGTTTACTACACAAATGGTCACTTACTAGTGAAAAATTATTCCATTATTTCCCTCGATTTTTGACCGAGATACACCGCACGCTACACAACCAACTATTTTAGTCTTTTTCGATAAATAGCAATAGTGTCACTGTTAATTTAAGTTCTGCCACAATTTCCTTCTAGATTTACTACCTTTAAATAACTATCAGTAGTAGAATAAATAATAAATAACATAAAATAAGCGCAATAAAGACCGACAATCCACAAAATTTCAAATCAAATTCAAATGTGTCAAATGAATCGTCAAACAGAACTGTCAAGGATCCTCACCCTAGGTCCCCACCTCCATCTGCCATGCATGAATACATGAATAACATTATACTATTATACTCCTTCCTTCTTCATCTTTTTATTCAAAAGTAAATTCATATTAAAATATGCATTTCCTGTACTTACAAACGCATCCGTCATATCGACAGGCTCTATTTTAACTTTCGGTACGTCTTTCTTGATTCTTTGCGTAACAGGCGTTAGAGCCTGCAAGGACGTTTTCTGTAATAAGAAATAATACAGCATTGATTTTCATTATATCTATCAAATTATAGACGTTTTCGACACTTTTAATACCTTTTAATGGATTATTTCGCCATTACTAAGGTAGGATACATTTGAACTACTCACCTTTATCTCTTCCAGCCGTTTATTTAGCCTGGTTATAATCCTTTGTTGTCCCTCGTTGTTTCTCTTGTTGATCAACGTGTTCATTAAGAAACTGACAACGATTCGCCAGTTCCTGAGTCATTGTCTTCATCTGAAAACAATTTAAAATTCTATTTTTTTATCGCGGGAAAATACCAAATAAAAACATTACTTTCTTGGACTTTGACTCCCTGAGTTGCCTTCAACAGAATAGCCACTTTTCTCTTCGTGGTAAACTCTCTGGTTGGTGGCCATTTGTTCAGCGTAGCTATCCCTCTACGATCTCTTCAACGCTTCAGGCTGCTCTCTACTTTTCTATCAGTTCTTTATGAGTTTCTTTGAATTTCTGCCACCCTCCTTTATATGGACCTCTCCAGTGATCTGGAGGTCTGTTCGTAGATGGTCTTGAGGGTAAATTCTGCCTCGCCATGGACTGAATCGTCGAAACGCGTTTTGACTTGACCTCTAACGATTTGAAAGAAAGACATATGAACTACATGATGTACATTTGAACTACCAAAAATATGTTTAAACTACCTATATGTATTTTCTCGCATTAGCATCGAAAAGTTTCTTTGACCATATTTAGCGTGTTGAAAGAAAAAATACATTTGAACTACACGACGTACATTTGAACTATCGAAGATATATTTGAACTACTCCAATGGATTTTCTCGTATTATAACATCGAAACGTTTTTGACTTTTTTCTAGCGTATGTTTAGAAGAAAGATATTATTTTATTGACAAAACATTAAACGAGAAATACAAACCCCAAATCATAGATACAATGATAACAATACACAATATATAACAACTTACAATTCCATACATACGAGGTGTTTCTGAAAAAATAAGAAGGATAGGAAAACAATATAACATACTAACATCTTTCAAAAACACAAAATACACTTAGATCCATTTTGCGATCCATGCGATAAATTCCTTTTACATCATGAAACATCTTAGACCTTAAATGTTAGAATTAAAGAACATAAAGATTATTTAAGAAAGGGAGGACTTTCACAAATCTAAGATTTGTCAGCATCTATGGGACACAGGGAACAGAATACATTTTAATAACGTCGAAATTATAATGAAGAAGCGATAGCCCTAAAAGAAAAATAAAAGAGGCTTTTAATCCAATCTAATAAAATAAATGTCAAAAAAAAAAAAAATTATATTTCGCCACGCCCAAGAAAGTTTGGGGCTTTTGTTTTACATTAAGTAATTTTATTAGGTAGAATTGTTAATTTTGAAGTTTAACTTGACATAATGTCATTTTTAACAGAACGTCAACGGTTTATTGTAGACGTATCTGTCTTAAAAAGTAAAGTGTTCTCGAATAGCAAATTCTAAATATTTTAAATAGTTTTTTCTTTTATTCTTTGTATTTTTTGCTTCCTGACGACGGAAAGAGATAAATTGGAAACGTTAAGCATTGTTTTCGAGTAGGGTAAAATTAAAGTAACTGTAAACATAACTTCTTATCAAGCAGGTCCGCTTTCTCTAGGTTTAACGCAGAAGTGTTTACAAAGAATAACTATTTTATTTTGTAGATTTTCTTGCAGTGTAGTGGCGAAATACCCATAAAGGATTTTTTTGGAAAGATATTTTTTTTCGATCATACGGTACTTGTGAAGTGCTTATGAAGAAAGACATTCGAACTACCGAAATACATTTGAAATACTCGGGACATATGAACTACTGCGAGTATTTTCGCGTAATTTTTTACCTTCGTTCGAATCCAATAGTTTCTGTTGGAGGTCCTGAATCTGTACAGACCTCAGCTCGATGTCCTCTTCCAAATTTTTTACCTCGGGACTTCCTGCAGTTTCCGGGTTGTTCTTCAGTTCGTCCAGTTGGTGGTACAGGGTGGCGCGATCTTCTAAGAGTCCCGTAAGCGCCGTTTCAGCTTCGACCAGGCTTAGGAACACTTCAAAGTCGTCTTTCAGCTGAGAAAAAACGAATTAATTGACTAGTTTTTATTTTTTTTATTCGATGTACACACCCAAGCCGCTATTTTTTCGACTTTTCCATTAAACCTTATTTCTTGAGCCTCTTTACGCTTATTGAAGGTGTTTTGAAGCCTCTTGTTTAACGCTGCCGCTTCTTCGAATTTTCTTTTCAATACATTTTTTTGTTTTTCGTAGGTTAGCTTCATTTTGGCGATTTCGTTTTGTTTTTTCCTGCCCTGTTCTTTTACTTTGGCCAACTCCCTAAATCAAATGATAAACGTAGTTGTAAAAATTCATATTTCCTTCACTACTGCTAGGTTTTAAAACGGAATTGGCCGAATTATTAATCAAAACTGTTCAAATTATTGTGAATTGAAGTTTGACGATGAATATCTTTTAAACGTTAATTTAATTGACTATTCATAAGAAATCATTTTTATAGAGCAGTAAATTTCCTACAAATCCATGAGTAGCGCGCATCTTAATGATTTTTTGTTAACGAATTATAAAATTCATAAGAAAAAAGAAATCTGCCTTAAAATAACCAAACTTCAACCTTGAATAACTTTCGAACGGTGAGGTTTATAAAAAATGAGACCTTTTTTGTAGAGAATTCAATTTCCTACAAATATACGAGACGCGATATTTTTTCCAAATAGTAGATAACGAGATATGATTTTTTTTTAATAATAAAGAAGAAATAGAAAACTGAAAGGCGGAGGACGTTCCTATTAAAATTAAGAGCAACCTTACAGATACAACCACTTTTTCAGCATATAAATTGAAAAAAAAAAAATTGTCGATTAGTAGACTAAATCGATAGTCGATTCCTTGTAATAGACAATGATAGGTCATTGAGAGAGAGCAATATGGAGCGTTCAGTCTCCAAGTTTCTAGACTTTGAAGATTGGATTGGAGAATATAATCTAAGGATCAGGGAAGGAGTAGTGATGGGATAACTCGAGCGAAAATTCGCTCGAGTACTCGATTATTGAAATAACCGACATCGTTCGATTATGAACGAGCGACGCAAGTGACGAGTACCAAGCGAGGAATACAAGCGATCCTAGAATGAAATAAATTGAAATCCGATTTTAATGTGACATATTCGATAAAAAGTCGAGCGAATTTTCAACATACATTGCAGGTAGGGTGCGTCTCAAAAGTGGCTCACCCCTATAACTTTTTTATTTTTTTAGATAAAAAAATGAGATTTGGTATGTTAGTATATGACATAAATTAGGATTGATTGACGTATTCAGTTGTTTACTGTCACTCCCTGTTTCACTGGAAATGACTACAATTTTTGATTTTTAAATGGCACCCTCGGTATTTTTTTTACTTTATTCGATAGAAAATGACATTCTAAATAGAATGACGTATCATATGCCAACTTTTGACATATTCGCTCAAAAACAAATTGTATTTTAAATCTCAATCTAGAGTGCCATGTCTGTGTTAAAAACACTAATTTTTAATCAAGGAGCCTTGG